ATACAGAAAGAGGATTTTAGAAATATGACTTCACATTATACACACAGCTGTCTGTTTTCATCAGGAATAGTATCAGGCAGTATCTCATGTATCTTTTCATGGCAGTGAATATTGGCTGTACAGCACCAGTTTTGAAAAGTCAGGCTTATTGAGGTTGTCATTCTGGAAAATGCACCCTTTTTAGTGCATAATTATGAGTTTAACAAACACAGTTCTGGAACCTCCACCACAGCTAAGAAACATTCCATCACTCTCAAATTCCCTCAGGGCTCTTTGCAGTCAACATCTATCTGCCTCCACCTCCAACCCCGGCCAATCATTGGTCTATTTTCTGCCCCACAGCTTTTCCTTTTCCAAACTGTCTTATTCACAGGATCAGAGCCTACTGTAGATGGTTCTTCTCACTTAACATAAGACACCTGAATCTCATCCAAGACGGTTGTACCAGTATCCCTGTCATCTCAAGGCTGCCTAGTATTCCTTGGTATGGATGGATCAGTGTGTGAAGTCGTTCCCAAAGAACATTTGGGGAGTTTACAGTTTTTTGGGAGATTATGAGTAAAACTGCACAGAATCATGTTTAATGGCTCCATAGTATTCTGTGATGTGGACATAGCATAGTCCTTAGCTATTAGATACTTAAGTGGTTTCCAGCTTTTATTTTTATACATGTAAACTTGTTGTCAATGTCTCCCTCTCCCTGAAGAGCCCTGTGCTAGTGGCATTTACCTGTAATCCCAGTGACTCTGGAAACTGAGGCAGRAGGATTGCAAGTTTGAGGCTAGTTTTAACAATTTAGTGAGACTCTGTCTCAAAACAACAAAACAAGACAAAAACAAAAACACCTGAGATAATCAACTAATAAATAGACAAGGTTTATTTTAGCTCACAGTTTTGGAGGTTTCAGTCCCTGGTCTGTTGGCTGTATTGCTTTCAGGGCTTTTGGGCCTATGGTGAGGTAGTACATCACGAGTGAGCACATGTGGAGCAAGCAGCCAGGAATCAGAGAAAGAGACAGAGAGAGGGGATGGAGGTTGGCGGGGAGGATAAGAATAAATATGCGAGTGTAAAAAGAGACTAAAACCCCACAAGACTTTCTTTCCTTTCCTTTCTTCCCTCTTCTTCCTTCTTCCCTTCCTTTTTTCCCCAGGGGTACTCTACTACTGATCTATACCCCTAGCCCTTTTAAAAAAAWTTTTTTTGTAGTTGTAGATGGACACAACACCCTTATTTTATTTGTTTATTTTTATGTGGTGCTAACCATTGATCCTATGCCTCACACATGCTAAGCAAGAGTTCTGCCCCAGCCTCACCCCTAGCCCTTTTTATTTATTTTTAAAAATATGTATGTAGGTATGTATGTATGTATGTTTGTTTGGGAACCCCAGGATTGAACTCAGGGGCACTCAACCACTGAGCCACATCCTCAGCCCTATATTGTATTTTATTTAGAGATAGGGTCTCACCCAATTGCTTAGCACCTTGCTGTTGCTGAGGCTGGCTTTGAACTTGCAATCCTCCTGCCTCAGCYTCCCGAGCCGCTGAAATTAATAGGTGCACACTACCATGCCCAGCCCTTTTTATTTTTTGAGACAGGGTTCTGCCTCAGCTAATTCCCAAATTGCTAGGATTACGTGTGCACCACCACACCTGACCCACAATCTCTTTCAATATCAAGCCCCCAGTGACCTAAGACCTCTCACTAAGCATCACTTCTTAGTTTCTACCACTTCCATAGCTGTCAAGCTGAAGACCAAATCTTTAACATATGGACTTTTTTGGGGACGCTCCAAATCCAAACTATAGGGGTCCTTTCCTCCAGAGCAGTTGGGTCTCACCTTCAATCCCAGATACCTCCCACTCCCAAAAAAGTGTGGTTTTGTCATTTTCTTGATTGCTATTTTAACAGAATCATGTTGCCATTTTCCTTCGCACCTTCAACATGTTCCATTAATTTCTTATATATCTGATAAACCAACAGGTGAAGATATTCTTATCTAAACTTGCACTTCTCTAGTGACTGCACAGGCTTGTATGGGTGAGTGTTGGGGGTCTCACCTTGGCCACATATCAGAGTCACTGGGAAGATTTTAAAATGCCAATGCCCAGACCACATCCAGGCCAATTAAACCAGACTGCCTGGGGAGGGCCTGAACATCAGATTACTTGAATTGCTCAGGGACATCCTGCTGTACTATACTCAGGAAAGGGGACATGCCTCATCACTGCCCCTGAGGCAGGCTCCCTGCCTTTCCAGACCCACTCCTCACTGCCTATCCTTAGTGACCACCACAGACCAGTATGGAGAGATCAGGCCAGGTGAGGATGGAAGCATAAAGACAATTTTCACATGTGCAAGAGATAACCTGAAGCTTCCCTTCAGTGGGATCTTTCCCATAGCCCAAGGTTCACACTATGGGAAAGGCAACTCCTTCCAGGTGCCTCCTGGGCACACTCAATTCCTGATTTGCCCCAAGTCCTGCTTCTGGCTTGTTGCCAAAGCCACCTCCAGCCCCTGTATATTCTCAGCCAGAGTATGGATCCCCCCTGTGCCAGGTCCTGAGCCCTCCTGTGTTGACACCCTCTCTTCCCCTCAGCTCTTTATTCTGTTTATTCTCCAGAAACACCTTCCTACTCTCTAACATATACAAATAAACACACCACACTCACCAAACACTTACAACACAGAGTGGGCACTTAATTTCTGAGACAGGAGATCATCTCAGAAACAGAAGAGTGCTTACTTTGGCAGCACATATATTAAAATCATAAGCAGCAGGGCTGGGGATGTGGCTCAAGCGTAGCTCGCTTGCCTGGCATGCGCAGGGCGCTGGGTTCGATCCTCAGCACCACATAAAAATAAAAGATGTTGTGTCCACCGAAAACTAAAAAATAAATATTAAAAAATTCTCTCTCTTCTCTTAAAAAAAAAAACATAAGCAGCAGAAAATCCTGTCTCCAGTTGCCCCCACCCCCACCAATGGCAGGCCACTTCTCCCTGGAGTACAGAGCAGAGCAGATGAGTGTCCCTTCCCATCTCTTTCACCACCCAAATCACCCCGCATGGACAGTTTTCATAATGGTAAGCCCACATGTGGTCCCAGCAGACACTTGTCTGCAGCAGACACCACTCCAAGGGCCTGGCCAATTTCTAAGCCAGGCAATTTCTTTTAGCATCACTTGAAGGGAATTCTTTGCACAAATATTTGTTCACAGTTGCCCGGGGGTTTGAATATTCAGGTCTGAAGGATTATTAAATATTGCCTTTGCCTCTCCAGGAGAGGAGGAAGGCTCTAAGGTGAGCCCAGGTACCCTGGCCCAGACAGGATATTAGGAGAAAAAGAGAGGGACAGACAGTAGGAAGGGACTTTCAGGCAAAGCTGTGCCTTGAGGAGAGGAGGAGCTGGGATCACACATGTGGGACACAGAGCTCTAACCCTGCTGGTAGCAGAGGAGTAGGGGGAGAGGGGGCACACCCAAGTCTTCTCACCGTGGTGTGGTGTGAAGGGATTAAGGTCCAGGAAGTTCTGTAGGCTTGGATAGGTGAGTGTTGGGGAGTCTGAGAGGAGAGGGAGGCCAAAAAGATAACTGGGCTAAGTCACTAGCCTCTCCCTCTCAGCTCTGTGCCCTCAGTCAGTCAGAACTGGGGCAGAGAGAGGGCCCATAGAAGATGATAAAAAAGGCAGGGGTGGGGGACAAGGAGGAGAGAAAAGCCACTGGCTGGTAGTACAGGGCTGGAGGAATATACAGTTCAGGATTGAGGAGGGAAAAGAATTGCTGGATCAACATGTAGTTTGGGCTGGGCACACTCAAGAGCTCAGGAGGCTGAGGCAGGAGGATTGCTAGTATAAAGCAGGCCTCAGCAAAAGTGAGATGCTAAGCAACTCAGTGAGACCCTGTCCCCAAATAAAATACAAAATAGGGCTGGATGTGGCTCAGTGGCTGTATGGCTCAGTGCCCCTGAATTCAATCTCAGATACCCCCACCCCACAAAAAAGTGTGGTTTTGTCATTTTCTTGGTTGCTAATTCAGCTTCCAGAGCCTCTTCTACAAATTACCATTTCCCCTCGCACCTTCAACATATGCCATTAATTTCTTATATATCTGATAAACCAACAGGTGAAGTTATTCTTATCTAAACTTGCACTTCTCTAGTGTCTGCACAGGTTTGGAGATTGGGTCATAATTGTATGGGAGAATTACTCAATTGTGTTTCTTTGCCAATTTTTCTATTAGATCATTGTCTCTTTCTTGTTTATCTGTGGGTAATGTTATCCCCCCCCCCGTTGTTTTTTACTTTAGCATTTTTTTTGACTTATAATTATGAGAATCAGTCTTAATTTAAAAATATCACGCTTCCCTCATTTTGTCTTTAATTTTTAAACACATTTTAAATTTGCATGTGGTCCAGTTAGCCCTTTTTTTTTTTTTGCTTTAGTATTTTCAAGTTAACTACAATACTTAGATCATAAAAACATTGATATTTTTTCAAGAACGGTTTTGGTTTCTTTTTCAGAGTTAAATGTTTGATCCATGTGGAATTTATTTGGTGTTAAGCAGTGAGGGAGAGCGCCAATTTCCACTTTTCCAAGTGGCCAGCCAGTTRTCTCAACATCATTCCGCTAGAAAACTTTCCGCTGCTACCTCACGAGCACACGTGGACCCTGCAGGCGGCTCGGTCCTGAAGTCCCACCCATCCCSGGCACAAGTAGGTCCGGAGCCCTGCCCAGCCCCGCCCACTCCGAGAACAAGGTCCCGCTCCAGAAAAGGACAAGGCTCACGCTTCCGGTTGCGGCGAGCCTCCCCGCCCCTAGGCCTGCAATGCAAATCGGGGTCTTCCGGGAGGGTAATTTAAATAGAAGGCGTGTCCTTGGTGGTTATTTGCATAGAGGCGGGGCCTCTGGAACGGAACTCTGGACCGCCACAGGGCTCCTACCAGAYTTAAGGGCGAATTCCCTGGGGACCTCATTTACATAGGGCGGGGCCTTCTGTGGCGCCACTTCCTTCTCTAGCCAGTTTTTGCCTGCTTTCCTTCTATTGTCGCCCACTTTCCTTCATTTTCGCTCTCCTTCCTTACGGCTATCGGCCCCATTTCTTCCTCTCATAACCCGCGTAGGTGTCCAGATGCTCCCGAAACGGCGGCGAGTGCGGGTCGGCTGTCCCGGTGGTGCTGTCACTTCCTCCACTTCGCCCTTAGTGCTGTTTCCCGGCGTCGCCATCTACCTGGCTGAACCGCGCATGGGCCGTAGCCGCCGGGCCTTTCTCACACGCCTGGCGCTGTCCAAGGGCTTCCGTGTCCTCGAAGTCTACAGGTGTGCCGACCTCTGCGTGGGGCACTGCGAGGACCTGATGTTGGTGTGGGGCCGGCTAAGCAGGCTTTTTCGCTGGGCCCGTTCAGAGACCCAGGTGACTCATAGCATGCTCCTGCGGGGCGGCTGCACCTGCGTTATTGGATTCCAAGTTATCTGTGGCTCTTTGGTCAAGTAATCTTTCTTAAAAGGGATTTTTAAAAATTTTTAGGTACTGGGGATTGAATCCAAGGGCCCTTTACTGCAGAGCTACATCCCCAGCCCTTTTTATTTTTATTTTTTTAAAGGTAGGGTCTTCCTAAGTTGCAGAGGCTGGCCTCGAACTTTTGATCCTCCTGTGCCAGCTTTCCCGGTCACTCAGATTACAGGCATAGAGCCTCAATCCCAGCAAGGTTGCTATTAAGATTGCTAGGAATGTTCTAGAGGATTATTGACAATCAAGCCAGAGGCTTTTCAAAGAGCCATTCAAGGGAGGGGTGATTAGAAGTAGTATTTGCCCACCTGCCCTAGAAGCCACACTGAGCCATCCTGAAACCTTGAATCTAGAATATAACTGGCGCTCTCATAGGGAGGGAATCAAGACAGTGCCCAAAGAGAGTAGTTTTGAGATTGGGGAAGCTAAGTGGACTTGGGACCAGTGCTTCCCAAAGCTTTTATTTACTATTTTGTATTTGAACATCTCCAGGGGCAGGATAGTGCACCAGACCCACTCACACAGTGCATATGATGCAACTTTTACAATAGCTCTACCAGGTAGTAGTTATTTCTGTTTTATAGAGGAGGATGTAGGGAGACTAGACTTGCCCAAGGGCACACAGCAAGTTTTCAGGGCTGGGGTTCAGACAAAAGTATGCAGTCTCTGGCATCTGTGCTTAAATCCTAGCTCTTAAATAAAGACCATGTGGTCCCAGACCATAAGGCATTCCTKTCTCTGAGGTTGAGAAGGATACAGGCAAGTCAACCCAAAGCCAGGCTGGCTTGTGAGCATAACTGGAGCAGAAAATCTCAATCTAAGAGCGGTGGAAATTTTCATACAYCAGGAGGGGCTTGAGAAGGCTTTCTGGAGGAAGTGGCATTTGAAGAATGAAAGGCAGTCACCATGCAGAGGGGACAGCAAGAATAAAAGCTTAAAGGTATGGAGCCAAACAGGAAGGGCAATGGATTTCACAGTCCTCCTCTGCCTTTGCCCAGCTCCGAGGTGACACATGTGGTGATGGAACAGACCTCAGTGAAGGAGGCCATCTGCTGGCAGAAGCACATGGCTGCTGCTCTCCCGTGCTGTCCCCACCCAGCTCTGCTGGACATCAGCTGGTTCACAGAAAGCATGGCAGCTGGGCAGCCTGTCCCTGTGGAGGACCGGCATCGCCTGGAGGTAAGACAGTTCAGGCCTAACTCAGTTGGGATAGGTGATGCACAGCAGCAGTGCCCCAGTGCCCTCCAGAGGGCTCTGCTCATATCACCTGGGGTGCCTGAGAATCAGCAGAGAAGCCATGGCAAGAGCTGGGGCTGGACCATCCCAGCTTCTGTCCTCACCACTTGAGATTCACTTATGTTTAGCTTCTTCATGCCTTCCAAAGTGGGGCAGCCCCTGCAGCTGGGGCTTCACTTCTTCCTCAGTGAGTAATTGGGATGATCCATGGATTGGTAGGAGCCTATCCTTGGGACTCTAGAGAGCTAGACTGCTTGTACTCAAATCCTGGCTCTACCTGTGAGCCATGAGGGAGAAGGCATGCTCCCTAACCTTGAAACTTTAGTGTCCCCAGCCCACTTGATTGTGAGGATTTGGGGAGGCAGGAAAAGTGCACTGTGAGGATTAACAGATTGTTGCTACTACTCTGGCCTGAAGAGCCTTGTCCTCAGTTTGTTCTGCAATGCAGTCTGTCTGTCCCTCCCTCCATATAGGGCTCTGAACCACCAAGACCCATTGCTGTGTCTCCCTCTGCCCATGCCTGTAGTTCACTACCTCTGTCCTGTGAACTCTAGAGGGCCCAAGGTGAATGCCCAGAAGAGTCAGGACTCTGATGGCTGCCTGGTTCTGTCAGCCCTGAAGCCTCATGATCTGTGCATTGCCCTTCTGCAGGTGGTTGAGCCCAGGAATGAGCCCCCAAGCCCAGTGTGGGTGTCARTTTATGCCTGCCAGCGTCCCACACCCCTCACACACCACAATACCATCCTCTCGGTGAGTCATGTCTGTGAGAAATTTTTAGCTTTCAAGGGACAGGGACATGGGTACAGCTGGATGGTAGCTGGTAGATGGAAGCAAAGTGTCCTGCCCACTCTGCCCCTTAACCAAGGGCCTCTCCCTGCAGGAGGCCTTGGAGACTCTGGCAGAGGCAGCAGGCTTCGAAGGCAGTGAGGGCCGCCTCCTCTCCTTCCGCAGAGCAGCCTCTGTGCTCAGGGCCCTTCCTTGCCCTGTCACTTCCCTGAGTCAGCTGCAGGGGTTGCCTCACTTTGGAGAACATTCTTCCAGGGTTGTCCAGGTAGGTGTCTGCCATGTGTAGCCAGGTGAGTAGATGGGGTGGGGAGGCCCTGGGGCCCAGTGAAACAGCCACGAGTCCTGGTATTTCAGACCCCAATGTGGAGAGACAAACATGCACAAAGATGCTGCTCCAAGACCACCACAGCCCACCTTTAGCACAGATCCCTTGTGAGTCACTTACCTCCCTCAGAGTGCCTGAGAGGACTTGATAAAGGAAGCTTCTGGCATTGATGTCATTGTCATTTGTCCCAAACTGCCCAGGGTGGGGGAAGAGAGCAACCAAGTGTAAGTTTTTGAAAACCCACATGTTAAGCTGCCCTTCTGTGCACTTTCACTGTGAGAGCACAAAGTAAACAAAAGATGCTTTTAGATAAACTGATATACGTTTTTAAAAAGAAAATGTTTATAGATCCTGGAGCTCACTATTTTATCTGAGAGATGACCAATATTACCTGGGACCTAAGCTGTTGTAACTCTAACCTCAAGGAGCTTTGAGGCTAGAGCCCCATCTCATCCCCCAGTTGTGTGGCAGCAGCTTTTGTCACCRCCCTGGGCACACTGTCCATTGCCAAGTCCCACTGTATCCTCATATCACAGAGCCCCTGTCTGTAGGGTGTGGAAAGGACCACCCAACCCCCATCCCCTACCCTGACTGCTGTTCTCTTTCTGGTTCCTGTGGCTCAGTGTTTTGCTTTGTCTCCTCCTCCAGGAACTGMTGGAGCATGGAGCATGTGAGGAGGTGGAGAGAATTCGTTGCTCAGAGAGGTACCAAACCATGAAGGTGCGCAGGGAACTTGACAAGGGTGCACAGCACTGTCCAAAGCACTTACAAGGGAGGCAAGCAGGGGTGGCTGATCCAGCTCTGGGGTCAGAGAAGGTCTTACTGAGGAAATGGCAGCTAAGCAGACACCTGATATGCTCTGGCCACCAAATGAAGACAGGCAGAAGCCTGTTTTGAGCATGGGGAGTTTTCTAGATCACTGAGCACCATCTGTTTTATTAGACTGTTTTTGACAGACTAATTTTAAGCATATTAGCACACTGAACAAACTATAACCTATTCTTGGGTGCTATAGGACCCAAGTTGTGTGTAGTAGGGCTGCCACTTTACACTGTGCTTTCTGTGATCTTGTGTGTTACTTTTTCTGTACTGTGGRCCCACCTGTCTCCATGGTGCATCTTCCCCCTGTGCCTGCTCACTGCTAACCTGGTAGGGAAGCACCTCCAACACTTCTGGATACCTCAGTTTATCTTCTCAGACATTCCAAAATTCCTGGGAAGAGTCTGAGTGCCTGGCCCAGTGGCAGGTGAAGTGCTTGGCCCAGGGTCCTCTGAACTGGTCCATGTTCAGACCTCCCCACTCCACCCCTTTGTGTATGGGAGACTTGGGTGAAAGCAGCACCCATCATCCTGATGTTCTGGAGGCTTGAGTAAACCCAGCCAGCCTATCCAGTACATTTTCTGAAGCCACCCTCTCATTTATTAACTCCATGTTGTTTTTGCTRTTTCTTGAAGAGAACCATAGACATAAGTTCCAGCTGCTGTAAGTGGGAGAGGCATGGTTTTCCCAGTGAACCAAGAGATGTATTAAGATGACTCTTGGTTCTGTTGGAAGCACAGGCTGGACCTATGTTTTAGTAGAGGGTTGAGGAAATAGCTTACCAAGGTCTTTCCTCAGCTTTCAGCAACTGGGCAGCAAAGCCCCCAACATATGCCTCTCCTGGGGCTTCTGCCATGATGTGTGAGTTCACTCCTCTGTGATAATGGGCTGGGCAGGCCAGACACTGGGTTTGAGTCTTCAACCCATGATCTTGGGCATGAAGGCAACACCTCAGGTGCATCTTCCTGTGGGTGCTTTGTTCCTGTCCCAACTGTTCCTTCCTCTACATAGCTCTTCACCCAAATCTTTGGGGTTGGGGTGAAGACTGCCAACCGCTGGTACCAGGAAGGGCTGCGAACCCTGGATGACCTCCGAGGACAACCTCAGAAACTGACCAAGCAGCAGAAAGCAGGTGAGTCCCCCAGAGAGGACTGGCCTTGGGCTTCGACAAGGCCATTTGGATCTGGAAAGTTCTGTATACTGAAGCCCTCATACTGGCACTGGATGTACTGATTGCATGAGTGGCAGAGGTGGGTGGTGCAAAGGGGTCCTGGTATCAGGTAAGTGGGCTTCTTGGAATTTCTCTACCTGCAATCAGATTCTGCTGTGGCCCTTTCAGTGAGCAGTTGTGGTCACAGCAGTGCTGTGACCTCTAGGACCCATGAGGCTCCCTCTGGTTAGGCTTGGACTTAGGTGAGGGACAGCCTGGGTCTTGACCCACCTATCCAGGATGTGCCTTGTGCATATGKGTCAGCTGAGTCCTGCCCACCATTTTCCAGGTATGTGACCATGRTCCCAAGACTAAACTCTCTGAATCTCAGTTACCTTTTCTGTGAAATGGGAGAAATGACAATGTGGATTGCCATAAACTCCTCTGTGATCCAGCAGGTGGCAGGTATTAAGCAGACACTCATTCGGCCTGTGTGTCCTGCCTGGTGCTGCCACCATACTGTCTGGACCTAGCCTGGTTGAGGGCTTTGCTGAAGGCACCATAACCAGCAGTATGCCCATTCCCCACCTCTTTGCACATCTCCCTGGGGCTACAGCATAATGCAGATGACAGGCAGAGAAACCTAATTTTTAACCTGTTTTCAGGACAAAGGTAGATAGTATTACCATCCATTGTTTACTAAGGACTTGTTCTGTGCTGGATGCTGCTGTTCTTCACATTTAAATCTTTCTTTAACTACATGTGGAAGGTACAATGATATCCCCTTGACAGGTGAGTAAATAGAAACAAGCTAAAAGATGAGTTTCTATTGGTAGAGTTACATTCTTCACACTTTTTTGCCACCTCTTTGTTGCATTTTATTTATGGGAAAACAGAAGGCTTAAAAGAAATATCTGCAGCCTGCCTGTGTCAACATCAGTACCCTTAGATTGAGTTCTATGAGATTTGTAAGGTGTTACCTTTGAGGGGAACTGGGTAAAGGACACAGAGCCCCCCTCCACCTCTCTCTCTCCTCCCTCCCTCCCTCTCTCTCTCTTCCCCTCCCCCTACCCTCCCCCTACCCTCCCCCTCTCCTCCCCCTCTCCTCCCCCTCCCCTCCCCCCTTCCTTCCTTCCTTCCTTCCTTCCCTCCTTCCCTCCCTCCCTCCCTCCCTCCCTCCTTCCCTCCTTCCCTCCTTCCCTCCCTCCCTCCCTCTCTCCCTCTCTCTTTCTCTCATTCCCTGTCTCCCTCCCTCCCTCCCTCTCTCTTTTTGGGGGCAATACTGGGGATTGAACTGAGGGGCACTTGACCACTGAGCCCCATCCCCAACCCTATTTTGTATTTTATTTAGATACAGGGTCTCACTGAGTTGCTTAGTGCTTTGCTTTTGCTGAGGCTGGCTTTGAACTTGCGTTCTTCCTGCCTCAGCCTCCAGAGTGCTCAGCCYAGCTGAGCATCTCTTTTAATTCCCATGAACTGCGTGTGAATCTACTAATTATCTCAAAATTAAAATTTAATATTTAAAAGGGGATAGTGTCATGCTTCTATTGGGATCATTCAGCTCCTGCCATAGCCTGTCCCTCCTCAGAGGCTTTTCCCCATCTCACAGCCACAGGGCTGGGTGACTGCCTGATACTAGAGGATGGGGCTCTGTGGGGAATGCAGGCTGAGAGAGTCAGGAGGACTGTGCTGCCCACAGGGCTCCAGCACCACCAGGACTTAAGCACTCCAGTTGGACGGCCTGATGCTGAGGTTCTGCAGCAACTGGTAGAGGCAGTCGTGGGCCAGGTCCTGCCTGGGGCCACTGTCACGCTGACTGGTGGCTTTCGAAGGTAAGGGGGTTTGACATACCCTTCTGGCTTACCTCCAGGACCCTCCCCAATGCAGGGACCTGAGTTGTGGACATTGAGGAGGCTTTCCCATTCACTGGGAGGGGCATGGCCCATAACTGGAATGAGGGCTATGTCMTTGTCCTTCTCAGGGGCAAGTTACAGGGCCATGATGTGGACTTCCTTATCACCCACCCTGAGGAGGGCCAGGAGGCGGGGTTGCTGCTGAAAGTGATGTGCCACCTGCAGAGCCAGGTGAGGGCTTCTGGTGCCTCTGTCCAAGAGTTGACTGCCACCTGGCCTTCTGTTCTCCTAGTACCATGGTGGTGCCTGGCCATACCTGCCTTTCCCCACAGGGCCTTATCCTGTATCATCAGCACCAAGCCAGCTGCTTAGAGACCCCTACTCACCTTGTCCAGCGGAGCCACACCATGGATGCCTTTGAGAGGAGTTTCTGCATCTTCCGCCTGCCTCAACCCTCAGGAGCTGCCTTGGGGGGTGTCCTGAAGCCTTGCTCAGCATGGAAAGCTGTGAGGGTAGATCTGGTGGTTGCTCCCATCAGCCAGTTCCCTTTTGCTCTGCTTGGCTGGACTGGCTCTCAGGTAGGTTGTGTGCTGCTGGGGCTRCCAGGGCTGCCAGGGCTGAGGTGAGCCAACCATACTGAGGGCAGTTACTCCCCCCAGCTTTTTGAGCGGGAACTGCGCCGATTCAGCCGGAAAGAGAAGGGACTGTGTCTGAACAGCCATGGACTGTTTGACCCAGAGCAGGTATGTCAAGGATTAGGGTGGGAAACAACCCCCTAGCCTGCTTCCTGGATCACAGCCTGAAATGGCCCTAAATCTCTCCATCCTGGAACCATGGTGCCCAGATCTTGGTCTTACCTCCCAGATCCTAGCCCTCCCCAGAAGGCATCTTGCCTTAGCACTGGGCTCTGCTTCCCCATCTAGCCTGTCTCCAGGGAAGCCATCCTGGCTGGGCACCCTGTGCATTGTGCAATGGTGCCACTGGGCATGGCCCCCAGCTTCTGAAGCCTCTGCTTCTGTTGCAGAAGACATTTTTCCATGTGGTTTCCGAAGAAGACATCTTCAGACACCTGGGCCTCAAGTACCTTCCCCCAGAGCAGAGAAATGCCTGATCCAGCCCATCTGCCCTCACTCCTCTTAGGAAACGGGGGGCTGCTGGACACTTTTGAATATCTCCAGGCAGAAGATACGCTGCCACGCCATATCCTCATCTCCAAGTGGAAGAGTCTTTACCTGTGGGAGCGTCTGTGAGGCGGGGCCTTCCTCACACTCCAGCCTTATAGCTGTGTGATCATGGTCAGCATTCAGCCTCCCCAGGCCTCAGGTTCCCACCTGGGTCAGGAAATCTGAGCAGTACTCAAGTCATGGAGCTGTGGCAGAGCCAGCAGTCCCAGTGCGGCAATTGAGGTGTGGTTGCGTGTCTTCTATAGGGCACCCCACTCAGTTGCCCAGAAGAGAACCGTGTATCCCTGCCCTGCACTTGAGCCATGAGGTGGAAGCTGTAGTTCTTGCTCTTAGGAGTCCTCTGTGGAGGTGAAAACGGGTATGCTGCAATCACCTGGAATGAGTGAAGGTCCAAGTCAAGAGAACTTCCAATGCTGAGATTTTGGCACTGCAGCCCCTACCCTGCTTCTGCCTTTAAGTCCTATACTCTCCCTACTTCAAAACAAGTCACACCCTGCCACTTCTTGCTCATAGTCCTGCGGCATTCCAAACCCCAAAATCCTYATGTGATCCCCTAGGGTTCTAGCATTTCTGCCACCCCTGCCAACCTCATCTGCACTCTTCTTTCAATACCCCCCGCCCCATCCCTCATTTGCTTCCTGTTTCACTGTTTCCTACTGATGTGCTCAGACCCCATGTCTCTGACTCCCTCCCCTTTCTGAGGCAGAAACACTGAAATGGGCTGGACAYACAGGTGTCCTGTGTGTTCCCTGATCTCCTGCAGGGCCTTTGCCTTCGCCACTCTTTGCCTCCTTCAGGACTTGACTCAAGGTCATCTTGTTAGTCACAGCTTCCCAGACCACTCACCACATCACAAAGTGTTTTTTAAATTAACATGCAATAAAATGGTATCTTTTAAGGTTTGTTTTTAATAAGCTTTAACACAGGTATAGACTCTGCCGTCTCAGGACCCAAAGATCTGTCCCCCAAGCATTGCCTTATGCCATTGCATTATCGCCACATGTTTTTTTATCCCAACTCACTCATTTTGTTCACTTATCTACAGTTTTGCCCTCTCCAGAATATCATAGAAGTGGAACCAAATTCTCCCTTTTACTTGCCTCTCTCTCATCATGCCTTTGAGATTCACTCAGGTTTTTGCATATATTGATGGTTTATTTTTCTTTTTGCCACATAATATTACATTCATGGGGTGTTCCAGGATTTATCTGTTCAGCTACTGAAGAATGTTTAGATTGTTTCCAGGGTTTGGTGATTATGAATAGAGCTACTGTAGCCATGTGTATATAGATTAGTGGGTAACATACCTTTTCAGTTCTCTTGGGTAAATATGAAGGTATAGGAATATTGGGTTATATGAAAAGTATGTTTTTAAGAAAGAGCTAAATTGTTCAGAATGCCTGTCATTTTCCATTTTATCAGCAGTGTGAGCCACCCATATAAGTTAAACATTTCATAGTAGCAGTTACTGTGTATCTGTCATCAATTGATAATTTTGGTTTTTATTTTAGCTGTTCTATGAAAGGTCTGTAGCACTAATTAACTGCCTTCGTTTTTTTTTTTTTTTTTTTTTTTTCCCTTTCCCTTCCTTTCTGGGGATTGAAACCAGGGGCTTGTGAAATAGTAAGCACACACTCTGCCATTGAGCTATAATCCCAGCCCATTTATTATGGTGGTTTTTTTTTTTTTGTGTGTGTGTGTGTGTGTGTTTGTGTGTGTGTGTGTTGCAGGACTAGGGTTTGATAACCAGGGCCTTGCAAATATTAGGCAAGCACTCTACTCTGGGTCACATCCCCATCAATACTTTTATTTATTTTTATGTGATGCTGAGGATTGAACCCAGTACCTCACACATGCTAGGTAAGCACTCTACCACTGAGCTACAACCCCAGCTCCCCATCCTTTTTTATTTTGGGATAAGGTCTCTAAGTTGCCCAGACTGCTTTGAAGTTTAAATCCTCTTACCTCTGTCTCCTGAGTATCTGGGATGAAGACATGACCACCRTGCTCAGCTGTTATTTTTTTGTTTTTGTTTTAGGAGCAGTCTTTTATTTATTTATGTTTGCAGTCTTTTGTTTTTATACACTTTGACAAAGAGGTTTTCAGGAGGCAATCTTTTCAGTGGAAAATAGAGAACATGAAAATTTGCCTCCAGCTATCAGTAGCTGCTCTGCTCAGGGTCTGTCATCCCACTTGCTCAAGGAATGAAGTGGAGGGGTGTATTTCCCTTCCTTTCCTAGCTGATTTCAGTACTTTATCCTCCCAACATCTGTACTAGGGTTTGAACCCCAAGAGGTGCTTAACCACCAAGCCACATCTTCAGTCCTTTTTTATTTTTTATTTAGACAGGGTCTCACTGAGATGCTTAGGGCCTTGCTAAATTGTTGAGTCTGGCTTTGAACTCATGATCCTCCTGCCTCAGCCTCCCGAGCCACTGGGGTTACAGGTCTGCCCTCGCATCCTACTGCTTCTTGATGGTATTCATGTGTTTTGTCATTTTTCTGCCTAAACATATATTCYGTGAAATCAAATCTGTTTTGTACTCTATGCCTAGATATTATTGGTTTTATGTGCACATGCTCTCCATTCTTTTTCAAAAGCATGGCATTGAATAGGAACTTTGGATTGTCATCTAATGATCTATATTAAGGCCCAGCCTTTTCTGCACATCAGAAAAAGGCATGGCACTTGGTTCACACCCGTAATCCCAGGAACTCAGGAGATGAGGCAGAAGGATTGCAAGTTTGAGGTCTCAGATTTTTAAAAATGACAGGGATGTAACTCAGAGGTAGCACTCCCCTGGGTTTAGTTCCCCCGCAAAAAAAAAGGGGGGAAAAAATGGCATGACATCCTGCCATACAGCCCTTATCTTCTTGCTGCCACTGCTTTCATTGGAAGTTTAGATTGTTAATTTGAGATCTTTCTTTTTTCCTAATATAAGCATGTAATGTTTAAATTTCCCTCTGAGCACTACTTCAGCTTCATCCTACAAATTTGATGTATTGTGGTTTTTTTGGTGGGGGAGGTGGGCACTGGGTATTGAACCCAGAGGCGCTTAACCACTGAACCACATCTCCAGCCYTTTCTATTTTTCATTTTGTGACATGATCTCAGTAAGTTGCTYAGGACCTCACTAAATTGCTGAGGCTGGCTTTGGACTTGTGATTCTCCTGCCTCCACCACTCAAATTGCTGGGATTAAAGCTGTGTGTCACTGTGCCCATGGAGTATATTTTTATTTTTTATTCAATTGGAAATGTTTCCTTTTTTGGTGGGGGGAGGAGGGTACCAGGGATTGAACTCAGGGATATTGGACCACATACTGAGCCGCATCCCCAGCCTTTTTTTGCATTTCATTTAGAGATTGTCTCACTGAGTTGCTTAGTGCCTTGCTTTTGCTGAGGCTGGATTTGAACTTTCGATCCTCTGCCTCAGCCTCCTGAACCACTGGRATTACAGTGTGAGCCACCATGCCCAGCAAAAATGTTTTCTAATTCTTCTTGAGACTTTTTCCTTGATCCATGGAATATTTGGAAGAGTGTGTTCTGTTTCCAAATGTTGGAAGGTTTTTCCCATTTATATGTATATACACACACACACACGTATATGTGTATATATGTATGTGTATATATGTATATATGTGTATATATGTGTATATATGTATATATGTGTATATGTGTGTATGTGTATATATGTATATATATGTGTATGTGTATATATGTATATGTGTGTATGTGTATATATGTATATATGTGTGTATGTGTATATATGTATATATGTGTATATATGTATATATGTGTATATATGTGTGTATATATGCATGTGTGTGTGTATGTGTGTATATGTGTATATGTGTGTATATGTGTATGTGTGTATATATGTATATATGTGTGTGTATATATGTGTGTGTGTATATGTGTATATATATTTAATTGGGTATTGAATCCAGGGGTGCTCTACCACTAAGCTACATCCCCAGCCCTATTTTTTTATTTTTTATTTAGAGACAGGGTATCACTGAGTTTCTCAGGGCCTTTCTAGGTTGCTGAGGCTGGCTTTGAACTCATGATCCTCCTGTCTTAGTCTCCTGAGCAGTTGGGATTACAGGTGTGTACCACTGCTCCTAGCTCTATTCCCATTAATCTTTAATRCTGAGTTCCAATTTAATTTCCTTAGGGTCAGAGAACATATTCTGCATTTAATTATTTAAAATTTGTCAATATCTGTTATAGATCGAGGATATTATCTATGTTGGTGAATGTTCATGTGTTCTTTATAAGAATGTGTATTCTGTTGAGTGGAGTGTTTTATAAATGTTGATTAGATATAGTTAGTTGACACTATTGTTCACATCTATATCCTTATTTATTTTCTGTCTAATGAATTACTAAGAGGAGACTTGACATCTTTTTTTCTTTTTTTGTATTGGGAATTGAACCCAGAGGCATTTTACCACTGAGCTACATCCCCAGAATTTTTTTATTTTTTATTTTGAGAGAAGGTCTTGCAAAGCTGGCCTTGAATTTGTGATTCTCCTGCTGCAGCCTTCTGAGTCACGTGGGATTATGGTGGGGTTATGGAAGTGACCATACCCAATCTGAAGTCTTAAACTATAATTGTAGTTTCCTTCATTTCTCCTTTCAGTTATTTCATATTGTGATTCATGTACTTGGAAGCTCTGTTGTAGAATTTTTATATCTTCTTAGTATCATTGTTATATAATGTCCTTTTATTCCTAATATATTTTCTTGTTCTGAAATCTACTTTGATAGAAATATATCTGTTCCAGCTTTTGATTAGTGTTTGAGTGATATATCCTTTTCCTTCTAACCTACATAATTTTTGCCTTTTTTGGGGGGTGGGTAGGTACCAGGGATTGAACTAAGAAGCACTGAACCACTGAGCCACATCCCCAGTCCTATTTTCTATTTTATTTAGGGACAAGATCTCACTGAGTTGCTTAGTACCTCACCGTTGCTGAGGCTGGCTTTGAACTCTCGATCCTCCTSTCTCAGCCTCCCTAGCCCCTGGGATTACAGACATGTGCCACTGCACCTGGAAATATATTTTTGCCTTTTATTATTATTTGTTTTGGGGGTGAAATTGGACTCKGTCTTATGCATATTAAAAATGTGCTCTACCACTTGGCTCTGTGGTACACTCTCAGCCTACCTTTTACTGTTTTTTGTTTGTTTGATTTTTGTTGTGCTGGGGATGGAATCTGGGAACTTGTGCATGCTAGGAAGGTACTCTATCACTAACTATCCCACCACAATCACCTATCTGTCTTTTTCATGATAACCATCCTAGTGGATGTAAAGTGCTATTTTGTTGTGGTTTTGATTTATTTAATTAACCATTTTCTTAAATGATATAATGTTGAGCATCTTTTCCTGTACTTATTGGCTATTTATTCTTAGAATTGTCTCTTCATGTCCTTTGCCCATTTTGAACTGGGTTATTTCCCTGTTATTGTTGAGTTATAAGAGTTTTTTGTATTCTGAATACTAAACTTTTATCAGATAAATTATTTGCAGATATTTTTTCCCATTCTRTGAGTTAACTTGTAACTTTCTTATGGTGTCTTTTTAAGCTCTAAAACTTTTAAATTAACCTGTGTTGGTTTTGTATACCTTTGACTTGGCTACTCAGGAGGCCAGGGCAGGAGGATCATTTGAACATATGAATTTGAGAGCAGCCTGGGCAACAAAGCAAGTCTTTGTCTCAAATTTTAAAAAAAAGGAAACAAACAATAATTATTATATTTGATGAAGTCCAATTTGTCTTTTTTTTCCTTTGGTTGTTTTTTTTTTTAAATATCATTTTAAAGAATAATAACCATTGCTATGGTCATGAAGGTTTCCTCCTAAATTTTTACTCTGATATTTAGGTTATTAAT